TCCCTTGTTGGGGTTCTGCTGGCTCTGGCGGCAGAGTATCTAAACACCGGGAACGGCGACACAAACGATACGGGAGTTTAAATCCCACCCCATCAGTCAGAAGGAAATAAAATCCACGTCCACAGCCCACGCTGCTCCGTCCCTGCGTTTGCAGGGCCTGGCCGTGGGTGCAAGCAGCACCCACGGGGACCCAGAGCGATGCTGGAGAGGGGAAGAACCCTGCATCCACACCCACCCCGCCAAACACCGCCCGCTGCAGGGGTCTGTACCCGGGATACAAACCCGGAGGCGCGATGGGTCTTACGGCCCCGACCTGCCTCCCTCCGTCCCACACAAACAGAGGATTGCACCCAAGACCTGGGTTAAGCCTGGCTTTGCCACAGCTGCCTTGGTGACCAGCTGGGGCACTTCACCCTTGGAGCTGAAGTGGCCGGTTCCCACAGCTTGCCCCCAAAAGTGAGGCCCAGACCGTCACCCCACGGCAAGGTCGGGGCTCTGCCTCCCCTCGGCAGGAAGGTGCACAAGGTCAGGGCAGGGGCTTACACTTAAGCCTGGCCTCTGCAAACTCACGGCCGCCCTCAGGCACAGGTGAGGCACTTGTTCTGCTCTCCAAATAGTTTTCTGAGAAGAAAACAGAACCACAGAATTGGAAGTGATGTGGGACAACAAAGATGCTTTTTGATGATGCACAGTTGGCGTCAGGAGCAGACGTTCAAAAGCCCAGGCCCCTCCAAACACCAGCAAGCGAGCGAACGCTCACCCCGCAGGCACCCCAGGAGGGGTCAGCTCTTCGAAAGCAGCTGGAGCTGCGAGGTGTCAGCCTTGCGAGCCTTCCTCCCCGGGGAGCTCCGAGCGTTCGGGGCAGGAACCACCACCTGGAGCGACGGCACTCGAAAGCCGGCGGTTATGTTTCAACAGGTTGTCCAGTTCAATTTGGACAAGGAGCTCTAATGATTATAGAAACAATTAAAAAAAATTATGAAGTGCTTTCCCTGTGCCTTATCATGTGTGGGACTGGCATAAAAATGAGACAGGAGAAAGTACTGTCACTTAAACCCCATTATATATATATATATATAGTCATTTAAAGCCCATTCTGTTCTACTAAACCACATTATAAGGCTAAAGGAAATCAACAGAGGGTTTTTTAACCACCACAATTTCAGTAACGTAGAGCTTTTATTAACAAGTTGTCAAAGTACTGTTACAAAACAGCGAGTTTGTAAAGATCTGATCCGGCCTTGAAGCACAACGACCGGACACCAGCAAAGCTGCCCCACGCCTGACGGGAAGGAAATCTCACGTGCAAAGCCCCCAGGAAACGTCACACCAGTGGGAAGTTCAGCGCTCGTGCTGGGGGGGTTAACACAGCCCGCACGAGGGCCCGGGTTGCTGCTGGCAATAACCAAACCTCACCTCGGCCCCTCAACCCCTTCCAGCTTCTAACACGAAGTCCTTTCCTGGCCGCAGTAAGCCGGGCACAGGTCATTCCGCTTGCTCCCCTCTTTCTGAGCTGCGCTGGATAAGTGCACGGTGCTGATCCACAGGGCGTTGCCCCCAAAGCACCGAGATCTTCAACTTTTAATACAGTTTCTCATTCCAACCCTGAGAGGTTTCCTGCAAGGACGGAGCTCTGCGGCACCAACCGCAGAGACCAGCACTCAGAGCAAGGAAGAAGCGGAGCGCTGAGGAAAGGTCACCTGCAACACCAGACACCCGAAAGCCCCAAGGAAACGTGGCTCTCGGGATTCAAACTGGGCCGGTCACTTCTCGGGGGGGTTCCCAGCAGCAGCCCTGCAGTCCACAGGAAACGTTCGCCTTTCGAGATCAGTTCCCCCCAGGCAGGGGAACCAGGGGAGAAGCGTTACTGAGGAAAGCTGGGGGGCTTACGGGGTGCCATCCACGAGACGTTCAGCGCTGCTGAAGGCGCGGAAGGCTTTGTGCAGGGCCATGTGGCGAAAGAGGTCCGAGTGAGCGGTTGCCGTCTCTGCCAGAGACACAGGAGCATCCGCTGGCAGGAGAAGCAGACGGATCAGTGAGGAAAGGAAAAGTCATATTGCCAGCATAAAACTATTTGCTTCTCATTCTTCTCTTGTCCCTGGAGAGTTTTCCACTCTCCCTCACCATACGGTTTTTCTTCTCATAACCCCTCTCTCTCCTTCCCAACCCTTCACGTCCCGCAGCTCCCCATTGGGATTCGATGGCTGCAGAAAGCACAAGTGTCTGAAGAAACACCCGCTGCTGACAGGGACGGTAACGCGGAGCCTCAGCCACCTACTTGCTCTCCTAGCTCAGAAGACACCGAAATTTGTGAGCAAAGGCAGAATTTCACCTATAAAGGGCTGGCTACTGCAGGGAAAGGGGAGGGGGAACTGTTGATACAGTACACGACTCCTCCTCCAGCCCAACCGCAAGCCAAGGAGCTCGCAGAAGCAGGCCTGAGACCACGACGGACGGCGAAGAGAAGGGATTATTAGTGCCAGCGGCTCTGTTCAGAGCTCCATCCGGCTGCACGTTGGACCACGCAGCCCGGCCATGGCCCGGCTGGAAACACAGAGGGACAGGCAGGCAAATGATTCCTCAGCCCAGCGTGGCATTTGTAGTAAGCAGCCAGAAAACAGCGCAGATCCAGGATTAAGCTGCGCCTCGGCGTTAGGGTGTGTGAGACACTCGGCATTGCGGTCAGACTTTGCCGTAGCAGGAGAAGGTAGCGTTACTGATACAGAGGAGGGCGATCAGGTGGTGTCAGGGAAAGATTTTCAGGCAGAGATCTTTGTTCCGAGTAGTTAGCTCTTTGTTCCGAGCGTTTCACGGTATCACTGACCCTTTCTAAGGGGTGACAGACCTCGCTCCTGCCTCTCTCCTCGCCGCCGTTGCACTACAGCACGTGCCGGCACCCCTCATGGTGCAGCAGGGGCAGTTAGGGCCTGAGACGTCCCAACGCCCGGCCTCAATTAGTCATTTATCTTAATGCATTAAGAGAGAGAAGTCCCTGACGATGAAAAGATGATTTGCCTACAACTAACTCCCACCCTACAGAAAGCTCACGGGGCTGGGTGCCAGGTTTTCAAGGATCGGAAACGAGTCCGAGGCCATAAGTCGACTGGAGCAATCACTGCGATTGAGATCGACAGCTTCTGAGTTTTGGGCTGCACTTGCTGGCAGAGTGCAGTAGCAGAGGCTGGGCTCTATCTGCGAGACTTGTGAAAATAGCACCCTGATCCTGCCGAGACCGTACCGCAGTCTGCGCTCCGAGCAACTGCAAACCGGGAAGGAGCAGCCTGTCCGTCTGAAGAGATCCAAGCTTGCTCTCACACTTTTCCTTCCTCGGTCCCATCGTATTTCTCTCCCCTCAGCCATCCCATCTTGCCAGTATTGCAAGAGATCTGTGCTCTTGCGCTAGGGATGAGCTACAACGGCTTAAAGACCCAGCACCAATCGCACACAATCTTTTCTCTCTCAGAAAGAGGACAGCTTGCTCCCTTTTGTCCTCAAACTCAACTAGAAAGAAACCCCATCCATCTGCAGAACCACAGAATGGTCTGCCCACCCCAGACCCCCAGACCGACCCCTGCACCATCCACTTACATCTCCAGGAAACGACGACATCGGTGGGGAGGCTGCAACAGAGATCTCCGTAAAGCAGCCTCGCGTTGAACGGAAAGGTCTTGCTTTTACCTGACGTGTTGTAATTAAAGACCAGCAAGTTACACAAGGAGTTCCTCTGCAAGGTTCCTTCTATCTGGTCTGAAAAGTGTTCCTGGAGGGACAAAGACAGGAAAGCCAGGAAAGGAGTCCATCAGAGTAGGACGGGGAGCTCGCCGAGTGCAGTGCCCCCACCCTCCATACCAGCCCAGCACGCCTATATGCTCTGAGGTGGCTGTACAGCAAACACGCCTTGTGCGGGAAAGACTTAAACATGAACACCCTTAAGCCACATCCTCCAGCAGCTTTTTACAACATCACAGCTATTTCAGCTTCGGGACCTCCGGAGAGGAGGACAGCTTTGCGCGTGGCAGTAAATTTTAAACGAGCAAGACATCCAAGCACGTGACAATCAATGAAACAGGCAACTGAGTTTATAGTCACACGATAATTTGTGACGTTCTAAAAGCCAGAACCGTGAGCGCTTCTCGTAAAGAAAACTGCCGAGATTCCCCTCAGCTCTTCAGAGACTCGTAACGCTTGGTACATCACAGGGAAAAGGATGGGCGAACAGCATTGTTGCGGCCACTCCTACCTGTAACTGGTCTGCCTGGTACCTCCTCCCAGCGTAAGCGTTCAGGTGGTCGGACAGGACAGAGAAGAAGCGCCTGATGTCCGTCTGTAAGTACTTCTTGGCTATCTGCTCCAGGGGGATGAAGATAGGGACGGAGTGGCGGTGAATCTGCACTTCTGGCTTGGTGAGCAGGTCCAGGTAGTAAGAATCCAGGTAGGTGCCCTCGTAAGCTGTGCTGATGCAGAAACACACTCCGTGCTTGGTCAGCTTCCCACTGATCCCTTGGGTCCAGAGAGAGAGAGGGTTTCCTCAGCACTACTCTAACTCATCACCGCAGGGCAGCTTTGCTGGGGCAACACAGACTGCAAGAGGGGCTGCGTCCTCTTACCAGGCTAGCTCAGGGAGCTCCCTCGGAGGATTAAAGACTTGCAAGAGTTTAGGGACATAAATCACAGCAACTTTGTAATAAGGGACCTCTAATGAATTCAAACAGTTTAATGGGAACTTAAATTCCCAATAACCGAGTTACGCTGCCAATTTCAAACACAGTCCTTGCTGCACCCTACCAGGGAGAACAAGGTGCCCTGGGTGGAGGAAGGCAGCGGTTCACAGCCCCAAGGAGAGCGGCAGGGGTGCTCCTGGCGGGGCTCAGCCCACTGCCATCAAGCAGGACTCGCATCCTCGCGCTGTCCAGAGCACAGAGCAAAGGTGATTCTCGCTAGCAACCAAATTTTTTTAGAAAAACCTCAGGAGCAGATGAAAAGAGGTTGCGGACCTCACAAGCTTGCTTGGAAGACCCAGACCACTGGATATTTAACTGCCTGATTCCCAAAGATTTCATTCCTAAGGTAGTTACACGTTTTCCAGAATCCAGACCTTAGTCTAAATGATACAATTCAGTAAATCATAGCTCCTACAACATCCCAGAGGCCTCCTGTGAAAGGTAGGGAATTACAAGGTTACAGCTCCTTCAAGCATTTTCAGACTCTAAAGGCTTCAAGCACAACAGCAACAGCATTAAAGGGGAAGTTACACTTCACATCAGGCTCATTTTCCAAAATTTTGCACCCCGGAATCACACCTTTTGGCAGAATACACGCAAATCTTGAGATGCTACCTGTGAGGTAAAAGATCTGCAGCATGGCCTTAACGCTTTTTATCTTCCACTCTAAAACAGCCTGAGCACTGGGCTGCCCTGGATCCGACACGACTCCTTCTTGTCCGAGTTGCTACAAAAACCAGAAGAGAAGAGAGGTCAGAAATCGCCGACACAAACACGTTACCTGCAGGGAACACAGTCAGGATACAGAGAAATAATAACCTGGCTCTAAGAAAAGCAAGATGGCATTTCAAGCAGAAGAGGCGAGAAATGAAGGAGAAGAGGGGAGAAAAACTCAAGAAAAGAGCTCAGAAATGGCCACACGACCTCCAAGCAAGTAGACCCAGCACTTCTGGACTACGTGGTACTGAAAACAGGGGACATCAGGACTGCATGTCGCTTAAAAAGGGAAAACAAAAAAATAATAGTTGACTTGATATGAATAACCTCAGTAAATTCACCCTCTGAGAGCAGGAGCACACCAGAGCCCTCTGCCAGATCTCTGCAGTAAGCCCTTTCTCACCCCCTTTTGCTGCAGATCCACTTTAGCCCGCAGCTCGTCCCTCTGGAGTCTCAGCTCCTGCACTCTCGCTTTCAGCCTGGCCAGCTTCTCTTCCTGCTGCTCCGTTTCCTCTTGCTTCACGGCTGCCTCATGAGCCCGCGCCTCCAGCATTTCCAGGTGAGCCAACACCCCTGCGAGGAAAAGCACAACACGCTCAAAAATCCAGGCCGTGATTATGAGTGGTCTGCTCTGCGGTCCCCAAAACAGAGTAGATCCAGCGCAGATACATAAAGAAAGCACTTGCAATAACTTTTCAAAGGGGCAGAGGACTGGGAAACAGCTGGTGAAGAGGCTTTTGGGAATTTTAAACAGCGAGGCTGAGTGCCAGCAGACCCTAAACACCAGAGTGCCCCAGACCAGCCAGCTAAGCTCCTGAAAAGCAGAGTAAGGTCGCAAACGCACCAATCCCAGTCCCAAGAGATCTGCAGTTCCCAGTTTTACTTCTAACGCAGTACACAGAGCAGTGAAGTGATTTCTCTGAAGCCCCCATATCCTAAATTGCTGAGAGTGACTCAAGACATGACTCAGCTAGCGAAGGGGTCACTTCTGGCCCCAAGCATTTTAGGATTCACTCCTGCAGGAGGACACACTTTGCACTTCGATAGAAAGAACACCTTGCACCCCAGACAGCTCACCATCCGCTGAATACGCTTTCCCTTCCTCCATCCTCCCCTGCTGCTCTCCTGCGAGCGGGAAGGCAGGCCTCAGCCCTCCTTGGCCAGGCTCCATCCCTTGGGAAGCGGCGATGTAGGGGAAGCGAGAGCTTTTCCTCAGGGGACCTTCCTCTTCCGCCTGCTGCTGCCACAGGACTCCGAGAAGCACCGAGGGCAGGTCTAGCACCCGGGCTGGCCCCACGCAGGAACAATGGCTGAAAAGACACATTACAACCCCCCGTTTTCTATAAGCCTCCATTTCACATCAGCCCCACAGGAAAACCAGCCGGGAGTGCAGGAACGGACAGGATTCA